AAGAGATAGAGTCATGGTACTTTGGGGGCACCTGGGTGGCTCAGTTAAGCATCTGACTCTTGACTCTGACTCAGGTCATAATCTCAGGGTGATGAGCTTGAGCCCCCAATGGGCTCCACATTGGCCATGGAGCCTGCTTAAGATTCTCTCTCCCCTACTGTCTCTGCCCCTCCCCCTCTGTCCTCTCCCCCTATGTACACATATGCCCACACACTTTCTCTTTATCTCCAAAAGGAAAAAAAAAAAAAAAAAGGAAAGAAAGAAAGAACATAGTACTTTGGAATTAGAGCTAAAATAGAATGCCAGCTCAGTTACATCCTAGCTGTGAGATCTTGGTCAAGTTGTTGAACTTCTCTGGCCTTTAGCTGCCCCTTCTACAAAATGGTCTTCTATCCCAAAATGGGATTTCGGGATTAAATGAGATATGAATGTGCTTAGCATTTTGAAGTATGATAAGTGGGAGCCACTACTCACTTCCCACATGACCCTAAGCCCAGTTGCCTTCCCATGCACACAGGTATACCCCCCCACACACAGGCCTCCATCCTGGACTCCTCTAACGCTTCCCCCTCAGCTGCACACAGCCAATGTGTTTTAGATTGGCTGGCTTGTGCTAAGAGAGTTGTGGTGGTTCTAACTTGGGTTTCAGTTTGGAGTCCGGCACCACTGTTGATTAATTTCCCCAGCTCGGCACAACGCTGGCCAGTTTCATGTGGCTATCCTTTGCAATTATGCATTTCTCCCCGCAGGGTGTCCAGGATTGGGCTGTTTTCCTGTTTTCTCCCCTTTATTCCTGCCACTGTGCTTTTCTGATTCTTCTCCAGGGACCAGCCAGCCTGCACTTCTCGGGCCCCACCCCAGCCCCATCCTGAGGTCTTTCTGGGCTGTTTTTCTGCTTTTCCATGCACTCTCCCCCTGGCCCTGCCTCACCCCCACCCAGTTTCTATTTTCCCCCAGGCTCCACTGGCTTCCCGTGGTTTCTCTTGGCCTTGGCTCAAGCCTGGTGTGACACATCTGGCATTGCCATCCTCTCCCTCCCACACTGGTCGGGGAAGAAGCAAGTGTATCCAGGGAGAGGGTACTGTGGAGCTGGGTGCTACCCACCCAGGTGCCAAGACAAACAGCCTGTGTATCATGCCCAACTGGTCACTTAGGGCCCCATCCCCTAAATGTGGCCCTACTTCTGACTAATCCAAACCCACTTTCTACTCCCCAGTGTCTGGTTCTAGCTGGTAGAGGTGAACCACAGGACTGAACCTTCACTGAGGTTCCAAGAATGTCCACAAGAGTTTGTGAAGGAACCCTGCCTTTTGGAGGCAAGGAACAGCCTTTCCCAGGGACCTGAACCCCTGGGTGGGTCTGGCTTGCTCCAGGGAGATGGTACCACCCCCAGGAGTGACATGGGCAGAGATGCGTCTCCTATATACAGCCTCCCTGATCCATGGACTTCCTACAGAAAGGAGGAGATTTCTATCAGTTGGTATTTGCCAGGAAAGGGGGAGGGCGACCCAGTGATGGCCACCAAAAGTGACTGGCCCTTGCAGCCATGATGGAAAGGGCACAGCAACAACACTGGGGTATAGCCCTGTCTTCCCCACTCACTAGCTCTTACCTTGGAATAGTCCCTGAACTTATCTAAGCCTCTATTTTCTCATCTGCCAACAGAGGAGGCAACTATGAAGGAGTTTTGGCAAGAATGAAGTCAGATCATGCACATTAAACATCTCCGGTAGCACTGGCACACAGAGGGGATCCCCAAATTGTCATTTGCACCCACCCTCTCCTTTCAGCCTACCAACCTGGGCTGGTTTTATTGTCTCTATCTGAGATGGAGGAACCTGAGTTAGTAGGACAGAGCCTCATACAGAGGTCCCCAGCTGCCCAAAGCTCAGGATATAACACCTGCCAAACAGAACATTCCAGTTAGGTTATGCACCCCCCCCTTCTTCCCAGCACAGACACATATACACAAGCACACACTGATGTCCTGCAGGTGGGGCGACCCCCTTTCCAGTTTGTCTACGATGCTTGTCTACGATGCTTGGTCACCCTACCCACAGGTACCTCACACTCAGTAGGTCTCCCTGTGCCCCTCCCAGAGCGCTCATCCCCTGCAGGTCACTACCCACATTCTTACTGTGTTCTCACCATGTGCCAGGCTCGCTGTGACCAGCCTGTCTGTCTGTCCACCCAGATGTGGAAGCCAGAGACATGCCCATCCACTTGACTCCTCCTCCTCTTCAATTCCCACCTCCAGTCCATACCACAGCTACTGGTAATAACTGTAGTAGTAGCAACAAAAAATATTGTTTCTTCAGGTATTTTAACTCATTTCATTTTATCCTATTGAGGTACATAGACACCACCTCCATTTTACCGCTAAACAAATGAAAGCCAAGAGGTTAACTAATCTGCTCAAGGTCCTACAGGTAGTAAATGAAGGAGCCAACCCAGGACATCTATCCAGAGTCCTGACGACATAGCATCTTGATACTTCTGTGCTGCCTTTCTTCAGTTGCCATTAAGCTCCCTGGGTTCACCAGTCCCTTACTGGCTCCACGCCTCCAGGCTGTCCTCCATAACTACTGCCAAAGTAATCTTTCAGTGATGCAAACTTGATCACACTGCTCTCCTGCTACAAATTCTCCTGTGGCTCATGAGTATTCAAATTCTTAGCAAGGTCCACACCTACTCATTAGGCATTACCTCTTGCTAATTCCAGATCGCTCTCCAGCACTGTCCTTCCCACCAGTCCCTCAACACACACACAGTTCAGCCAAACTCACTTCCTTGTAAAGTCTTCAGAATTTACTGGGTTCCTCATCTTTGTGCCTTTGCATGTGCTATTTCCTCTGCCTGGAATGTCCTTCCCTGATTCTTCACCCAGCTGACACTTACTGTTCCTTCAAGGTGCAAGTCAGGTTTTGTCTCCCCAGCAAAGTCTAAAAGATATGCGTAGAATAAATAGATCAATGACTAGTTAAGTGAATAATGTCATAATAGCGTCACCACACATCACAGCTGTGTGGAGTCTTCTTTCTACAAATCCCTCTCCTGTTTACTATATATTTGGTCTTCCTGATAACCCTGTGAGATAGGCCACCTTCCAACTTGAAGGTGGAAAAACTGAGGCACAGAGAGGGTAAGTGACAAAGTAGCCAGGATCAGAGCCAGGACCTGAAGCCAAGTTTTCTGCTTCACAGGCCAGTGCTCTCCTCACCGGACTGCAAAAGGCAAAACCTATTCAGCTGCCTTAAGACTGTGGAAGTGGGGGGCTGGCCTCTGTGCCCTCCCCTGACCCACCCAGACAACAGGGAGTAATAGGGCTGCAGAGGGAAGCTAATTACCTAGGTCCCCCAGCCACAGGGGCTGCCCATCTCTCAGAAAGTGCAGAAGAAATGGCCTGAGAGCCCCAAAGTCTCATGCCTGGTCTGAAAGACAAGACAACCCCTAAACAGGCAAAAGATGTGAATCACAACTAAAACAAACAAAACTTAACCTTAAAATAAGTGTGAAGCCCAGCAAAATTTTATTTTTCCCCCTTATGAATACCTCTTTGATCCTCTGGATGAAATGTCAAATTCTGCACACACGTACCCCTCCATTTTTGGCTGCCCCTGCTCTGCTGGTGCCCTAAGCAAATGTTTAGTCTGCACTCGGGGGTGGAGATCAAGCATAGGATTTTCTGGCCTTTGATCTTCTGATGTTGGCCTCTAGGGAAATGCTGGGTTGCCTGCCCCATTCAGTGGTGACCTGGATGGAGGGAGAAAAAGTGTCCGGGACCAGAGGCCCAGCACTTGTTGGGATGAAGGGTGAGCAGGTAAGAGAGTGCTTGGAGGCAGGGGCCGGCCAGTCAGGCAGCTGGGGGCGCTGGGGTGCTGACACAGAAGGAAGAGGGTAGGAGATGACCAGGGCAGGGGTAGGAGAGGCAAGTCCGGACCATGGATGGGTGTGGCACAGACAGCTGGCCAGGGCCACCACGGCTGGACCCCTCTATTTATGGTGCAGTGGAGCCTGAATACAGGTTATAGGAAGGAAAGCCACTTTTCTACCTCCTTCACCCTTCCACCTGGGGAGAATCAGGACAGTTTAGAATCAGACACATCTGACTGGGCAGGGACCACGGAAGAACCCACAGGCTGAGGATGCCAGAGGCCTTCGTCCTAACACAGTGTGTGTTACCTGCGCCTCGGTTTCCCCCATGGTTAAATGTTATGGCCAGGCCTGTCTCTCAACTTTGATTTCTCCCAAAACATCTATTTACTCTCCCATCAGATGCAGATGCACTTGGAAATTCAAAAGCGGGCCTGTACTAGGCACCTGCTAGGACCCAGGCCCCAAGATGGGCTCTGCGTGAATAAAATGAAAAAAACGCAGCTCCTGGCCCAGAGGATCCCAGCTGGCGGGCTTACATCACTAGATAGCACCTGTTTCTGCTTCCTCCTTTGGACTCAGTCTTGCCTCGATGATGCCCCTATTGGGCAAGAGAGGAACTGCAGGGCTCCTTGAAGAGATGGTTCTGTCCTGGGTGGCCAGTGAGTCCCTGAATACAGTCCCACCCACAAGCAGAGGAGATGGGTGTCTGAACCTGCCCCCCCCACCGCAAGCCCTGGGGGCTAGAGCAGACTAGGTGGGGGAGATAGCTCCTTCATGACACTTCTTTGGGGTGGCAGTCTCCAAACTCTGCCCCAGGCTCCATGGCAGAATGCCAGACAGCCCAGGACCGCTGCCCTGGTGGCCCCACCTAGGGAGGTCCCATTCCCACAGTCCTCGGGTCCGGGCTTAGGGCCTTCCTTCCCAAATACACACACAAGTGTACACATACACACACTGATGACAACAACCCCCGAAAAAACCAAAGCCTGGAGCGGCATGCTGTCTGGAACACGGAGTGAGAAAGGGGGGCCCGCAGAAAGGAGGGGAAGCCGAGGCAGGGGGCCCAGGGCTGTGAGTCAGGCCCCAGGAAGCTGGCTCCCCAGCCCAGCCCTCCAGTGACTCACAGAGACTGCAGGCTCGGCAGCTCCCACAGCGCCTCTGCGGGGATTCCTCCCAGCTGGTTGTTCTGCAGCATCCTGTAAGGGGAGGGAAGGGCTTGGAGGACCCACACAGCGTGTGCAGCTGGGGGGTCCTCCCTCGACCCCCTGAGCCACACCAGACCCCTCCCTCTCGCCCCAGCTTCTGAGCCCCAGAGTCCCAGTCCAGTGCCCTGTCCTATCAGGGGGGTCCAGAGGTTGCCGAGGAATTGCGAGCTGTGAGTGGGGCCAGAGCGGGGCTCAGGAGGGCTTCTGGGATGAGGCAGGGCTGAAGAGGACCATGGAGAAGCAGAAGGGCTGGAAGTCAGAACACTTGCAATTCTGCCACAGTTTGGTCAGGAAGGACGCGGAGAAATGCAGGTTTTTCTCCCCAGGCTTGAGTCCCTGTCTGTGCAACTGAAAGGCTGGAAGTGTCTTTGGGGAAGGGGAGGATGTGGATGAGGGCAAGACCCTCACCCCTTGGGTGGCAGGATCCCAGCAAATATGTTGTTGTGGAAGCCATGTCTAAAGAGACAACGTGGGGCACCTGGGTGGCTCAGTGGTTTAAGCCTCTGCCTTTGGCTCAGGTCATGGTCTCAAGGTCCTGGGATCCAGCCCCACATCGGGTTCTCTGCTCGGTGGGAAGCCTGCTTCCCACCACCCCCCTCTCTTGCCTGCCTCTCTGCCTACTTGTGATCTCTGTCTGTCAAATAAATAAATAATAAAATCTAAAAAAAAAAAAAAACTTTAAAGAGACAAAGTGAGGCACCCCAGATCAGCATGCGATCACTATTCCGATGGCCGCATCTCATGGTCCCGCGGAAGAAATGTGCCAGCCAGTGGACCTGATCCACTCGGCAGGCTGCGCTTCTGGAACTGGCCCGGCCACAGGACCCCAGCACTACCCCACAGATAGGAGTCCTGGAGCTCTTCTGGGCACCTGGGAAACCTGATGCGCAGGGCAGAGGGTCAGAGAGCACACAGAGGGGAGACATGGAGGCCTGGGCTGTCCCTCTGGGTGGCTTTGCTGGCCCCAAGCATCACAGCTGGCCTCAGACATGTTTGAACAAGGTACTCCAAAGCACACGGACTCTAAGACGTAGGGCCCTGAGCAAGGATTCCTGACCAAGTGAAGAAAGGATAGGAAAGCCCGCGGGTGGCATTACCATCCAAATATTCTTTACAGGGACGCCTGGAGAGCTGGGTCCCAGCAATGGAGAGGAGGAGGGCACATGGGGGGTTGGCACTCTGGAGTCCAGAGAATAGCTAAAGAGTCAGGAAGGAAGCTGCCCAGTGCCCCCCACAGAGCGAGTAGGCCCTCCCCCAACCCAGCCTGCCTGCACCGCACTGCACCCCATCCAGCGGCCCCCAGGGCCACACACGGCCCCAGAGACGAGGGGTGCATCCGGACGGGCCAGGTGCCTCAGGAACCAGGAGCAGAGGAGCACTCGGGGAGTCCCACTGTGTGCCGGGTACAGCATCTGTCCTCTCCTTAAGGCAGCCTGTCAATCTTTCAGAGGGGAAAGCTCAGCAGAGATGGGCATCTCACTTGGGATCGCGCAGGGAAGGCTGCTGTGCTTCGGGAAGAATAGCTCCTTTCCTAATCTTTAAGTTGAAAACAGTAGCAGCTGACATGCCTGGTCATAGAGCTTTACACGTATTAACTCAAACTTATCCCAGAGGGTTTGGTCCCAGAGTCCAAATACCTAACCATCATATACCTGGCCTCCATCAGCATGGCAGGGGACAGCGAGGGCCCCAAAATGCGGAGGGGGATGATAATGCACCGAGTAGTTACCCACACCTCCTATGTGACTGTCCTGGTCAGAGCCACCCCCGTTACCTCTCCTAAAACCCCTTTATAGATACATAAGAATCCCAAAGAGGAACCAAACCACAGCACCACAAGAACAAAAGAACGTTGGCCTCACTGTGGGCCTGGAGACTGAGAGGAGCGCCTGATGCCGGCCAACTGAGGAAGGAGGAGGGAGGGCCAGACGCTGAGGACTGCAGAGAACTGGGGCTTTGAGCTTGGGGTCCTCCCCTGCCCCTGTCCCTGAGGCTGACTGAGCGCAGCATGAAGTGAAGGGTCAGGCTACAGGAAGAGGCAGTGCCCAGGGTCCCCTCCTGCTCATACTTTGTGCTCCTACAGGACCACACTCCCTGGGCCCCTCCGAGCCAGGCTCCACACAGCCCAGGATGGGGCTTTTCCAACTACAGTTTTGCTTCAAAGGTAGAAATTAGGGGCATGTGGGTGGCTCAGCTGGTTAGGTGTCTGACTCTTGATTTCAGCTCAGGTTGTGATCTCAGCGTTGTGAGATCAAATCCCGAGTTGGGCTCTGCACTGGGCCCCTTCTCTCTCTCCCTCTGCCACTCCCGACTTAAAAATAATTAATTAATTAATTAAAAATCACCTTAAAAAAAAAAGGTAGAATTTAAAACTGAGCCTCCCAGACTTCCTCAAAGTGTAGCAGTCTCTCGGCAGGCTCTGAAGTCACGCAGCCCTGGATTTGGCTCCTGAGCTCTGCCTCTGTCCAGCTGTGTGAGGCCTGCAAGCTCCTACGTAAACTCTGTGGGCTTCAGTTTCCTCATCTGTAAACTGGGGATGATGATAATGACCTTGTGCACTGATTAAACGGCGGAGGAGGCACTCAGCCTGCCAGCTGATGTATTCTGATGAAATTTTATCGCATGCTGGACGACTTGAGTAGGTTACTCCCCCTCTCTGGGCCTCAATATTCTCATCTTTCAAAGGAAGAGGCTGCCAGATGATGCAAAATCCCTTGCTCAGTTACAACATTCAGGGACCCAAGACATTTCCTGCTTTTCATCCTGCTTAGTACTTCTATCCTTCTAGACACATCGACATCTTGCATCTCAAGAGTGGGAACTTCACTTGGGGACCTCAGGGGGCTGCCTTGATTCTCGTCCAGAGACTTCACAGTGCTTGGAGCAAGGAGACAGAGAAGTGATGGTTGGCAAACAGGAAGGGACACAATCTGCTCAGGCCACCTCACAGGCCCCCACCCCTCCAAGGGCCCCTGAGCCTGCATCCAGTCATTCAGCAGGCAGAAGCCCACCTCCCCTGAGCATCGCAATGCACCTCTACCCCATCAACTGCTCAGATCCCCTTACTCTTTCCTCTGTCAAATCCCCGATCTAGACAGAACTTTATGGTCTCCGAATTGTACCACTCTCCCAACAAAGATGCTGTAGCACCTGTGCAGAGCACAATCATCCTTCCGGTGCCAGGGAAATCAGTGCCGTCCCAGAAAACTCATCCCATGCCAGGCAGTCCGATCTGTTTGTCAAGAAAGACCTTGCTTTCATGGAATCAAAACCCACTAACCTGAAGGACAGCATGGCGGTTGGCTTTGGGCCTGGCGCTGTCCCCCCCTTGCTGTTCCTGGCCTCCTTTCCCAACCATCACTCCTTTACTGAAATACAACTGGGTCATCAAAGCTGGAAGTACCTTTAGAAGGGAAGAGCCCCCTTGTTTTCCCAATGAGGAGATTGGAGCTCAGGAAGGGGAAGTGACCTGCCCTCAATTACAAAGCAAACTAATGGCGGAATCAGGACTAAGACCCAATTCCGTCTCCTAGGTCACTGCTTTGGTGACCACATTTCCCTGCTCCTCTCGCTGGCCCTGGTTCTGCCTGGTGAGCCAGAGTCTGTCCAGTGCACTGGGTCTCAACCCCGGCTACACGTTAGAACCACCTGGGAAGATTTTTTTTTAAATCCCAACGTGCAGACGACACGGCAGCCCAGTTAATCTCCGGGGCCAAATCTCTGGGCAGGGGATTTTAGGCAAACTCCCAGGTACTCTAATGCGCAGCCCCTAGGCTAGGGAAAGCCTCACCGCCTCACCCCTAGGCTAGGAGACGTCTCCCCTGGTTACCTGTGAAGCTCCGCTGGGGAGTCTCTCTCTGTTTAGAGAGGCATTTGGGGGCAGGAACCATGAGCACTAATAGCTAGAAGGTTCCAGAGAGGCGATCCACCCATGGCTGACAAAGGTCCTTCCTTTGGTTTTGTGGAGAGGCCTTGGGGGTCACTGGGGTGGGTGGGTTAGATGGGGCCTGGAGGCTGCCCACCCCCTCATCCACTGTGACCAGAGAAATCCTCCTCCATCTATTTTATATATTGGGACTTCTGCAAGAGGTGTTTGGGTTTTAAGGTTTTGCAGTTAAAATGTTGAAAATGTATTCCAATGTCCCCATTTTAAAGGTAAGAAAACGGAGGGAGGGGGCGCCTGGGTGGCTCAGTGGTTAAAGCCTCTGCCTTAGGCTCAGGTCATGGTCTCAGGGTCCTGGGATCGAGCTCTGCATCGGGCTCTCTGCTCAGCAAAGAGCCTGCCTCCCACCCCACCCTTTCTACCTGCCTCTCTGCCTACTTGTGATCTCTGTCTGTCAAATAAATAAATAAAATCTTTTAAAAATAAATAAATAAATAAATGAAAGAAAGAAAACGGAGGAAGTCTGAGTGTCCTTTGTGTTCTGGGATCTGCTGCACCGGAGACCCACTTCCTGACATCCAGTCATTTGACAGGACCAGGGCGGTAGGCTCCACCTCCTGGAGAAGAACAGCTCAGAGGATCTCCCTGGGCTCCTACAGCTTCTAGCATCCTTCTCCCAAGAGCCAGGCAGGAAGGCCCCACTCTAAAACAGTTCACAAGTCTCTCCTCCCTAGGTCAGTCCAATTCATTTCATCAACACCAGTGGAAGCCCAACTCTGGGCCACGCATGGCTGCTGTCCAGCCAGGGGGAGAGTAAACACAGTCCATGTCAATCGAAGACTGTCCAGTCCAGAGTGAAGAGGGCAACACTAGAGGACAGCCAAGGGAGATTTTCTCAGGGATGGGGCCGGAGAGGGACTTAACGCTGCCCACCCCTTGGTGGCCTTCGGATGGGATCAGCCACAGCTCCCGACGCAGCCGGCTGCCCTTTGTGAGACTCAGGCTTCACCAAGGCAGCATGAGCTAGGAACCCCAAACCACGGCCTCCCAGAGATTTGGGGCTCAAACCAGGCATAGGTAGTCTGGGGAAAATCTCTTGCCCAGCCTCCTGGGGGCATGAACGGGAAGCAAGTCCTTGACCCGTCAACCCCCATTTCCCAGATCTAGGTCTGGGGAGAAACAACTGAGGCCCATCAAGAGTCTTTCCAGATGAGCCAGACCCGCCTGACATAGGTAAGGTGGCAGCCTTGGCAGGAAAGGCACCAAGGCTCAGACCTCACGCAGCTGAGGAGACGGAGGCAGCTGTGGGGAGGGAAGAGGTGGCTGGGGCACACACACTCTCTCTATCCCTCTCCTCTTTCCCTCCCTCTCTGTCCTGCTCTCCCACCCCATTCTCTCTCTCTCCCTCTGTCTGCCCCTTCTTCCTCCTCTGTGCCATTTAGGGCAGGACAGCTCCCTCACAGGCCAGCTCCTCGCCCTCAGGCTGTGGGTCAGGATGCAGGAGCTCCAGCCTCTGCCATCCCCTCACCCTGACAGGGCACACATGTTAGGAGCCCTCCAAGGGCCAGGCTCTTTCCCACACAGCAGCAGCCCCAAGAACTGTGCTTCCCTTAGGACAGTTCTGACGAGGGCAATGGGACAGGGCAGTGAACCCAGGGCCTCAACTACCCGACTCTAGAGGACAGACATTCCTACCTACAGTCTGGAGAAAAGGCATGAGACTGGAAATCCCCTGCAGGGCTGGCTCTCCCCACAGGAGCCTGGCCAGAGCCTGTGGGCTCCAAGACTTGGAAAAGCAGCAGAGGAAGGAGAGGATCCAAGAGTAACACCTCCAGGGCAGGCGTGGGGCAAACGTGGGGCTGCCATGGGAAGGACGGAGGGAGGGGTCTGCCACCGGCACTTAGAAGATCAGAGAGGGAATCCCCCCTTCTTTGTCCTTTGCTTCCGAGAGGAAAGAGGCAAAGTGTCCTATAGGGACAGTCAGGCCTCCAAGAAAGGAAGATGCAGTTCCCGTAAGAGTCTCAGACCTTGAGAAGACAGGGAAGTAGCTAAAGGGACAGTTTCCTGGTACAAAAAGAGGTTATTATGCAGATAGTGGGCTTTATGGCTCTGTTTTTGTTGTTGTTGTTATTGTTGTTTTTGTAAGTCACCAAGGCTTACAAAAGGCTTGTAAGCTCTTTCATTTTATTCATTTTGAGAGAGACAGCCAAAGCAGGAGCAGGACGGAGGGGCAGAGGAAGAGGGAGAGGCAGGCTCCCCACTGAGCAGGGAGTCTGACCTGGGGCTCCATCCCAGGACCCTGGGATCATAACCTGAGCCGAAGGCAGATGCTTCACCAATTGAGCCACCCAGGCGCCCCTTACTGCTCTATTTTTCTTGCAGTGCTGAACACTGAGCACGGAAGGACAAGGCGGCAAGAGAACCCACATGAGACATCTGAAAGTCCTTCTTGCCCAGATGCAGGAGGAGGAATCCTCTGCTTTGAAGCACTTGAGTTAGAGCCTAAGCTCCCAAGACCACCCAACTCATCTCTCAAGTAGAGAACTCTGCAGGCAAAGAACTGACACGAAGGCTTTGGGGGACCAGGCTTTGGGGTCTCGGAGGATGGGGCAACGTGGGGGTCAATGGCAGAGTGGGGAGTGGGAGTCCAGCTGTCCTTGGCTCCAACCAGCTGCCTCTCCTGGCTGCCCAGCTCCCAGAGCCAAGGGCGCCGTTTGCAGAAAGGGGGCGGGAGGCTTGCGGTTTCTCGGAGGCTTTGATTTATTGCCTAATGCAGGCAAAGAAAAAGAGGAGGCTCATCTCTAAGCCAGAGTCTTAGGAACGGGACAGGAGTCTCACATCTTCTGAAGGCCCAGCAAGCAGAGCCCGCGCTCTAATCCCCGCTGCAGGCCTGAGCCTGCCACTGGGCACAGACACGCCACCAAGCAGGCTGCCTGTGCTCTGTGTCTGGCTTGGGATGCCTCCCCACACCCCAGGGCAGTGATGTTGATGGGGATCAAGACAGACCAAGAGGAGAACCAGGAAGGAGGAGAAGTGAGAGGTGGGGCACAGAGGGGCAAAGGGACAGAAAGCAAGGGCTGGGAGACAGAGAAGGGGAAGACGGGAGAGACCCGGAGACCAAGGCTAGAGAGAACCCACAGGACCCATGGGGACTGCAGAAGCAAAGGGAAGGACAAGAGACTGGGACAGCCTGGGAGTCAGACTTGGAGGCAAAAGATCCAGAGAGAGGCAAAGGGCCAGAGGGGTTCTAAGACCAGGAACATGAAAAGGAAGAAAGTGCTTAGCCATGGACCATGGACTGCTGACCCCCTAAGAGACTGAATCTCACAGGCCAAGGGGCCAAGGCCATTGCTAGCCCATAAACAATTCTGAGCACATTCGAAAAAGATATTCCTTTCTAGGTGGCTAGAGACGAGACCCAAGCCAGGCATAGGACTGGATTTCAGCCTCTCCGTACCCATTCAGCCCGATGTTCTTGTGCAGTAAACCACCTGCTCAACCATACAAAGAAGATCTGCAGGTCAAGTGAGGACTGAGGGAGCAGCAGAGCTGGGGAATGGCTCACCAGTTTAGGGAAGCTCCTAACACTCGTTCTATTGCTCCAGAATCAGCTGTCAAGATCCTCATTTTCTTATCAAGTTCGTCTCTGTGGTGAGGTGCTTTCCCCAGGAACCTCTCCTATCCACTTTCAGACCCCATGCATCCACTTTCCCCTATGGCCTTTTATCCTCACTCCTTATAAGAACATTATGGAAGCCTCGGGGGAAACAGTCTTGGTTGGAACAAAGTGAGCCATGGATGGGGATGGAAGAAAATGGTGCCTCAGTTTCCCCTTCTCTAAAATGGGCCATCAGTTCAATAACAAGTGGGTAAGTTAGTGCACTAACACAAGGTCCTCTCCAATTCTCACTTTCCTTTTGCTTTAAAGGAAAGATAAAGGAAGCTGGATGACGAAGCATGGAAACAGAGGGCAGCGAAATATTTACCGTGGGAATGGGGACTCAGGGACGTAGGTACAGGGACTAAGATTCGGTCTCAGGAGGAAAAATGGCCAAGGAAATCCAATCTGGATTCCTCCTCTCCTGGCCCAAGAGGTCTCATGAGGGGAGAGCAAAGACCTGCCTCTCTGGTCATTATTCACATTATGGAAAAAAAAAAATAAAGATACTTGACTTCCATGGAGGGTTGCCATATCAGCTGCAATGAAATGTTTATAAGTCAGAATGTCTGTTATAGAAAACGTGAAGACAAAGAAATGCAAATCACAATTAAAATGAAAAGTAAAGATGAGGGAATAGGCAAGCCAGTGACAAACCAAGACCTGGCTTACAAATGCTTGACCTGCCCACAGTTCTCGGGGTTGCACCTCTGGGGAAAACGGGGAAGATGTACTTACAGGATTTTCAGGCTGTAGAGGCCAGAGAACGCTTGTCCCGGGATGTGTGAGAGATGGTTCCCCGAGAGACGCCTGTGAACCAGGGGAAAATGTCAGTGATGTCAGCAGGGAACCCAAATGGGAGGAGTGGGGGACCTCCCCCCCGCCCGCTTACTCAGCATCTTGGGATTTGGGAGGGAGGATGGGGTGATAACCACCATTTACTGATATCACCAATGTGTTCATTGCTTCATGCCCATTTTCACTTAACTCGTACAATAACCCTGTCTAGTGCCTAGAATTCTCTCCAAATTTCAAAGGAGGAATTGGAGGCTCCGAGAAAAGGTCAAGTCACTTCCCCTACCGGTGACAGAAACAGGCAGTGGCCGAGCCTGGTGTTGTCAGCTAGACCTGATCCACTTCTAGGCTCTGGTCCGCCCTGCAGCGCCACGTCCTCTCCCCGGCTAACCTGGATGACTCACGTGCTGCCCTCAGCTGTCGAGCTGCTCTGCATCCTGTCACCGGGGGGAGGCTGGGTACACACAGGGTGGGACCATGCCTCCCCATGCCCTCAATGACACAGCTAACCCCCGCTAATCCAGGAGGGTTAGGAAATGGGCTTTTAGAATTAGTTCAACATCCGGGTCTAATGAAGCGTCTCCACGCTTGTCATGGGGTGACTGCCAGTTCTAAAGGGGAGCAAATGTGACAGAATATCCTTAATGCCCCAACCAGAATGAGTGGCGTCGAACGATGGCTGATGCAGAAGGCACTCGGGATCTCCCAAGTCGCCCACATTATGGTGTCCTTCGGTTCCTACTGGGAGGCTGTGGGTGTACAGGCTGGGCTGACACACCTCAGAAGCTGTTGTTCCTTCTTTCTTTCTTTCCCTCTCTCTTTTTAAGATTTTATTTATTTATTTGACAGAGAGAGACACAGTGAGAGAGGGAACACAAGCAGGGGGAGTGGGAGAGGGAGAAGCAGGCTTCCCGCCGAGCAGGGAGCCCAATGCCGCGGTCAAGCCCAGGACTCTGGGACCATGACCTGAGCCGAAGGCAGTCGCTTAACGCCTGAACCACCCAGGCACCCCAAGTTGTTTTCGTTTTAAAAAATCTATCTTTAGGGGCACCTGGGTGGCTCAGTGGGTTAAAGCCTCTGCCTTCAGCTCAGGTCGTGATCCCAGGGTCCTGGGATCGAGCCCCGCATCGGGCTCTCTGCTCAGCGGGGAGCCTGCTTCCTCTCTCTCTCTCTGCCTGCCTCTCTGCCTACTTGAGATCTCCGTCAAATAAATAAAATCTTTTTTAAAAATCTATCTTGAATAAGAATCTTTCCATTTGCCATGGAAAGATCCTTTAGATGGAACCTTTAAAAGCGCCCAGCCCCTCTCAGGGACGGAAGATGAAAGCTGAGCCTTCCGTCCTCAGACTGCGCCGTGGGTGTCATGTGCTCCAGCGTCTCAGCCTTCCCACCTGCTTCTACTCGCACCCACGTTGTGGCACATCCACCTCAGAGGGCCCCTTGCTGCCTCCAATTCTGTCACTTCCTCTGAGCACTGGCTTAACACTCCTCCTCCAGGAAGGATTCCCTGTCCACAGGCTAGAGCTCCCCTACCCCTGCACCCTGACCACTTCCTAACACAGATTCCCCTGCTCACCTGCTGGGGCACAGCTCTAATGCCTCACCTAGAAGCTCCCTGGATTTCTATCTTGTTTTCCCCTCAGAGCACCTTGAGCTTGTCTTTCACACAGAGGGGGAGCTCAGTAAGTATGGAGTCTAGAAAACCCAGCCATGGCCCTGGGGGTTGACCGAATCCTAACTCCAGCAGGGGCAGGCTGACCACATCTTGGGGTTGCACTGTCTAGAGTGGAGATGGGTAATCAGTTAGGGCAGCCGCAGGGCCAGGGGTGGGGTGGAATTGTGAATGTTCTCAGGGCCAGGAGTCCACACTTTGTGCAGTTTAAGCAAACCTTGGTAGAACCCTGAGTATCCATAGTGGTGCAAAACCAAGAAAAAGCAGGCTGGGGACAAGGGTTGGAGGACAGAAACAGGGCTGGGACAAATGCAAGGATTGGGAGCAGAGTGACTCTAACCGAAGAGATCACTGATTCATGAGCACCCGTGGAGTCCAAGGACCCAAGGACCGCAGAGGGAGAGCAACAGCCATTATGGGAAGGCATTAACCGGGGAGGACTTGGTGGAGGTAGTAGCGGGCCTATGTATTCGCCAGTGATAGAGGAATGGTTTGTGCCTGAGAAGATGGACACTGGTTGGAGGGGAAGTCTCTGGCTCAAATGCAGGAGGGGAAACCAGAATAGTAAATATGACTGCCTCAGTGGGGCAAAGCTGACCAGGTAGGTTTAGGCCAGGCTGGGAGAGGCCTTAGGAGTGAATCTTTGGCAGGGGGGGTGGCACCTGGGTGGCTCAGTTGCTAAGCATCTGCCTTTGTCTCGGGTCATGGTCCCAGGGTCCTGGGATCGAGCCCCCGCACTGGGCTCCCTGCCCAGCGCCTGCTTGTGTTGCCTCTCTCACTCGGTCTCTCTCTGTCAAATAAATAAATAAAATATTTTAAAAAAAAGAAGAAGAAGCAGAAGAAGAAGTGGATCCTTTGGGCACTGGGGACCCAGAGAAGGCTCTCGAGCTGGGCAGATGCCCCCGATGATGGCAGAGTATATTTGAGAGGAGGCTGGTGCAGTGGGAATAGGGATGCAAGGCGTGGAGGGAAGAGACACTGCAGAGAAAGAACCACCGGGACAGGGGGTTGGGGGGTGGCTGGTAGCTGGACGCAGGGATGGGAGCAGGTCAAAGATGACCTTCAGGAAGAGAAGACACCATTGACAGAGGGGAAGCTGCAGGTAAGAGCTGGCCTCAGGGAGGACCAAGAGCCAGATTTCAGAGTCCTATACCACGTGGTCCCACACAGCACCTGGGATTCACAGCTGGCTAGTAGGGTACCAGCAAGAACAGCTTACCACTCCCTTCCCTTTGAGTTCCAGCCCTCCTCCTGGGGAGCCCTAGCTCCTACAGCTACCAGTGGTCCCGCAGCTTTGCCTCTGAATCCCATGAAACATTTACTCACAGCTCCTCCAGGAAGCGCAGGTGGTGGAAGAGGCCAGGCTGCAGCTCTGTGAGGTTGTTCATGCTCAGGTCTCTGCATGGAGAGAAAACAGGAAGGGAGCTGTGAGCCGCCCATTAGTCCCAACCCGTGCTGTCCAGGTCCAGACACCCACAGAGAGCTCCAGCCGTTCCCACAGCACATCCCACACACATACACACTGTGCCATCGAATTCCCAAGCCAGCCCAGCAGGAGCAGGTGCAGTCTCTAAGAGTGAGCACTGGGCTGGGAGTCAGGCTTTCCAGGTCCATATGTGTGCATTCCCTCCATGGTTTCCAACTTTGCCCTCTGCTTTTCTCCTCCCTCAGCCAGACTCCCCCAAGAATGACTGTGGTTGGGACTATGAAGGAGGCTGACCTCCCTATAATGGGAGAAGCTAGAGAATCATCTGCAGAGTTTCAGAGCATGAGGGGAGGGGTCACTTAATACATGTGATGCCTCATGCATTCTTTTAACCAAAGGGGAATCTGAAGCCTAGAGATTACTGCCATTATGCTCTGTGGAGCCAGTTCGTGCATATCCATGCACTGGTGTGCCCATCCCCGCAATGGCCATGTGGGATCATCCTATTACTCAATCCCAGAACCAGCGGGATTTCGCTGCCCTCTGTGTTCTCTGCCAGTTGCTTTCCTGTTGGCTTTCCTCCCGTACACTCCTGCTACCAGAGGACCTCTAGCATGTCCCCAAAGATGCCTAGCTTCTCGATGCACATCCTGATTCCTCCAAGGACTCCTACTTTGGATCATTCCAACCTTCCCATATCCCGTGAGAGACCCAGTGGGTGGCTTCAGGGTCACTGTCCTCTAAAGATACCTCAACACAAAAGAACCACAATATTAACAGCTGACACAAGGCCTACTGTGTCAGTCACTGGCTAATCTTTAACCAAATAATTCCATGTAATTCTCACACCACCCCCACGGTAGATTCCTTTGTCCTCTCCATCTCACATGCAAGAAAACAAAAAGGAAAAAACATTGGGCTTTGGAGTCAAAAGGCCCTGAGGTCAACTCTGTCTTCTACTCACTTATCAGACCTTGGGCTCTTAACCACTGTGACCTCAGTATCCTCAGTATCCTCATCCATAAAAATGGGATGAATAACACCAAACTCCTAAGGGCTTTATAAACGAGCCAGTGCTTACAGACTGCCTAACAAATAGTATACACGGTATTTGCTTTCTTCCTGCCATCCGCCCCTCGGTGACCTGTGGGCAAGTGTCCTAGCCCAACAGGCCCGGGAGCTCAGTGGGCAGGAGTTGGGCTTTCACTGCTTGGTCATGTACTGTGCTAGTATTTCCTTCTCTGCTTGTGTCTGGGTGAGCAATGACGTCTCAAGATTTCATGTGTGTGCCTCTCACACATTTGGGTTCCATCCTATTTCAAACTCTTAACAGCTGCTTCCTGCCTCTGCCAGCACCCTCCCTGAGGGGTATAGAGGTGGGTCCAAACCAGACCACCAGATGGCTGGGCACCACCCCCAGGCCGGCCTACAGCTTTCTCCCTTCCTTAGGAATGCACTTTTGCTGTCAAACCTGAGTGTCTCCCTTTTCCCCCAAGAAATGAGTGTGCTTTATGTGGACGCTCAGAAAGGCAGGCTAGAGATGATGGGGAAATGTGTGCTTGGGAGCCCAGTTCCAATCTATAAAAAGACTGTTTAGTCTCAAATGTTTTATCTTTGATAAAGCTTAGACTCTGGACGCCATGTCCTCTAAAGAAGGAAGACATTCCGTTCAGAGAGGAGCCAAGGAACTGGCCTGCTGAACTCAGGGATGCTTCTTGTCCACAGCTCCCTCTCTGCTCCATGTGGGGACAGGAGGGCCATCCCTGGGCCTGTCCCATCCAGAAGAGGGCTAGGCAGAAGAGGGGGTGGAGGGGGCTGGTGTGCTGATGGCCATGGTTTAAGGAGCAGAACCAAGAGAGTTCACTGATGGATTTTATGTCAGAGTTTGGTTCTCGGGCCTTATCTAGGCTCCACTAGCCTGGGCTTCCGGTGGAGAGGTGAAGACGCGAGGGTGCATAGAACAGCGGCAGGGGAAGGAATGTCAAGGCCCACAGAACCTGCCTCTGACTGGACTCCTCCCCTTTGAGTCCTGGGCCTGGCTCATTCTCAGCCAGGCAGGGAGGCACAAGGTGCCCCAAAAACGATTACCTCTAAATATTTACCCTGTGCATTTCTGGACGTGTCTCCACAGGAACGGCAGCGGGAGTTCAAGGAGCACACGGGGCATGTGACTCAGACCTCATCACTCAGCTGTCCCTCCAGGGGCCGCACCTCAGAGGCTCTGATGTGGCTCCATGCCCCCACCCCATTCCCTCTGCCCCCCCACCCTAACTAGCGGCCTCATTGTTCTCCCCTGGGGAGGAGGGGGCCTGGACCCCCCAGCCCGCCCCCACATCCTGCCCAAGACAACACACAGCCCAGCTGCAGGGCTCAGTAAGGAGGGGCACCGGAGGGTGGATTTCCAATGCTGGGGGTGGGGAGCCCCATTCAGACCTGGCCCTCTCAAAAAAGGCGAGGGGTAGGGCTCGTGCCCAGAAAAGGGAGAGGAAGAGGAATGCGTAGAGCCGAGAGAGGGAGGTGCAGGGCAGGTTTCAGAGCTGAGATCCTCCAAGTTGATGCCACAGGCCAGGGAACAGCGGAGGGCCCTGGCAAGAGGCACCAGGCCCTGCTTGGGGGCGAGGTGCGCCTGGGCAGTCTTGGGCAGGCGGGGGAGCCACATGCAGGCACTGTGAACACAGGGATCATCCTGGGAAGTGGTGGTTCTGAGACAGTACTTCCCTTGGGTGGGGGGGGGGGGGGGGCGAGGTCAGTTGTCCTTGTGCAAGCCAGCGAGCACATTCAGGCCATGCTTGGACCCAGGACAAAGAAGAGGGCATCCAATCCTGGGGGGTAGAGGAGGATGCTGGGGTTTGCTTGTGGTCGTTATCTGCTTGGCTGTATGAACTTGTCAGTATCTACAAGGTGGGGGAGGCCTGTATTGGGGTATACAGGCTCTTGGGTGTGCCTGTCTTGTAGGGTGCTGGGCACGCATGTGCCATGTGTGAGGACATGTGCATATCTAGAATGTGTACATTGGACTAGCGTACTGTTAAAAGTCATAAACGTTCTCAGAGCATCACATGTTAAAAGATAGAAATTCTTTGGGAGAAACAAATAGGCTCACCCAAGTCTCACTCCTGGGGCTGGAAAGCTTTTCTGGCTGTGTGACCTCTGGCAAGCCAGGTTCCTTCTCTTGGCTTCCGGGCTCCTCTCCGGCCTATCTCCTGGCCCCAGGAAGGGGCACAGGTCCCTCAGTGACCCTGTCTGGGGGTCCAACTTGTGGCTGAATTAGACACACGATGCCTGAACCGAAACAAACCCTCCTCTACGATTGCTCCCTGGCCACTGCGAATACACACATGCGCACGTATGCGTATTCACATGCACGCGCACGCACGCATGCACGCGCACGCACGCGCACGCACTACAGGTCGCCTGACCAACTTCCTGGGCATGAGAGCTGACCGGTGTAGTTAGACACACACACACACACACTCAGAAGGGTCCGGCTTCGTTCCGTCTCTGCTGTTGTCGGTTTGAAATCCTTAACAAATTCTGAACAGGAGGCACCACATTTTCATGTTGTACTGAGCCCTGCAAATTGCTTCTCTCAATCAAACTGCGGGGGAATCGAGGGGATGGGTTGCAACCCCATTCTGAAGTTTTCTTGCACTCAGAGGGGCTATATGTTCTTCTAGCTGGACACAACCATGGGTTGGGGGGGCGGCAGGAGAGGGTCAGTGGGGCGAGGCTGGCAGGAGGGGAGGGAGGGGAGGGAGGCGAGGAGAGGGGCAGCCCTGGGCACAGGAAGTGGAAGTTTCTGGCTGCACATTAGGAAAATGTTCTCAGAGTTTTACCCTGTGAGGCAACCAGACCACCCAAGGAAGCTGGGTGAGGCAGTAGTGTCACCATGGAGACGAGGAACAGGGTTTGATAAGAGGGAGGATGCTGGGGAACTAAGGGGACAGACAGCAGCAAGACCCGAAACTGGAGGGGGGTGGGGCAATAGGGGACCCTACCCCCTGGCAATCTGGCTGATACCCAAGGGTGCTGGTGAAGTTGTTCTTTTTGCATTTTTCCTTTGGGAGAAGAAACAGAGAAAAGTGAAGCCCCTGGGCTCTGCTGGGACAGGCCTGGGAGGACCGTCCCCACCTGGCTGGAGAAGAAGCCCGGGAAACAGGGCCCTTTCGACACTGTCTCCACCTTAGGCTAAGATTGCCCGTCTCTGCAGCCAGGTGAAGGGCAGTTAGAGTGAGTAGGAGATAAGCCCCTGTCCCCAGGCATAACTCCCCAAGGTCACCTCCTCCACGAGGCCCTGCCCAGCCCCTGGAGGCAGAGCTGGTGTGGTATCCTCTGGGTACCTACAATATTCTGTACATGCTCCCTCAGCGATGATGGCTGAGCTTCTGCTATGTATCTAGTGCTGTACCCACCTTCATTATTACACCAGCACAAGGCTAATTAGCGGCATGACTCTGGTCATGCCACTTGACATTAAGGCTCCATTTTCCCATCTGTAAAATAGGGATGATAATAACAGTACTTACCTCACGCTAGTTGTAGCAATAATTACACGAGTTACTAAATGTAAAACAAACATAGTGCTTAATAGATCTTATTAATATTATACTCATCTAACTAAATTATAATGATTAGTATGTAATGACCCATACGACTATGAGTTCAAGGTGAGGACTTCATCTTAGACCTCTCTGTATCCTCTAATCCTAGCGGGATACCTGGCAACTAGGGGTGTGCAGTAGACATGCAAATGAATGTATTACTGGAGATCGATGATCCTGCCTTGGCTTCTCTTCCTGCGGCCGACAACCTTGCTCCTAGGAAGTTCCTCCTGTTGTCTAATTTGAGTTTCTCCCAATGATATGTTAAGGGCGTAAACCTCTGTAAAGAACCTAGTCAGTGCTTAGTTCCAGTCTGGTGCACAACCCATGGGGCCTGTTGATAACAATGTTCACTCGTCTCTCCATCTAGC